ACATAGACAAAGGTGAAATAATTAAATAAATCAATTAGAGATAACACTATAGTTTCATTCACTGACTGTCCAAAATTTTCTCGCTCTCCAAAAAATATGGAGCTGACCCGGAGAAGAAAGATGGATGAGTGGGGGTGGGGGTGGGGGCGGATTGGGAATTATGATTTCTATTTATTTTAGTTAGTGTGTCTTATTTAAATTGGGTAGGCGGGTTAAATTATCTTAAATAGGTTACCATATTTAAATTGGAAGAAAAAAAAATCCACATAGGCCCCATTGTAGGAAAGCAAAGGAAATGTAGGGTATAATGGTAAGGATAAGTCTGTCAAGAAAGTATAACGAAGGGCAAATGTAACCCTTTTTGAAGAGTAGAGGGGTAAATATGATCCTAAAGTATAACGAAGGGCAAATGTAACTTTTTTTAACATTTAAGGGGTAAATTTGAACCTAATTTATAATGGTAAGGATATTTTTGATAGAAAAATTAAACGGAGGGTAAATAAGACCTATTTATAATAGTAGAGGGGCAAATCAGACCCTTATCCGTAAAACCAAACCAAGATATTCAACTCACTTCAATTTATCATGCACCTCTGACATATACAAACATAGCAAATAAAGCATATCCTTCATCAAAAAAAATTTGCAAAGAAATCGAGTAGATCTAGTCGGACAATCCATTCACATTTTTCCTCTGCCCAAGTCACATACTCAGAATACAATCTAATTTGGGCTTGCCAGAGCTAATGAACTCAGTGTGCCACTCTCTACACTTCTAGAAACACATTATCAACTTCACAAGCTCTCTTAATTGAAAGTTCTCCAGATAAAATGCTGTCCAACTTGCAAGTTTCGTCACACACTGAAATATTTCACTAATGCTCTTTATACAGATGCTGGCAAAGAGGACGGAAGTTCATAACATTCAAAGTGCAACTCACAAGTCACACACTACACTTCCATAGGATGTGTTATTTAACCTAAGCTTAAGCACATGTTCTTAATGAATTCCTTATTAGAAGAGAAGTTGTGAAATATAAAGAGAGAAGAGCAGAAAGAAATTAAAAAAATTGATGAAGTAAGGGAATTTCATTAAATGGCATCCAAAAATTCGCACAAAAACAAAAAAGGGGAGGTTAAATGTAAAGTGCATCAAACCTTTGTAAGCAATGGCCGAGCCTCCTCAACAACAGATAGAACTCTCTCGGCCAGCGCATAGGCATTGGACAAACCAATTTCTTCTGCCTCACGGCCAAGACGAGTGAATATTCCAACCAATGCATCTAAACTAACCCCTTGATATCCTTTTATCTTTTGCCTGTCGCAAATTATCAGACCCTCTTTAGCACAATCCGGATGCAGGGGCCCTACAGAAGGTACTGGGATTGGATCTCGAGGTGTAATATCAATCATCGTTTCCATGATAAGACCAGATTGGTTCACCTCAACTAATGAGTTTCGAGGAATTATTATCTTGTCATCTTCAACCTATAAACACACACACATCAATTTTCTTAAATCAACGCATTCACAAGCAACTATGGAAACAACTACAATTACTTTTAAAAAATAAAAGATAGAATAGTAAAAGGGTTCAGCAAAAGCATCAGTGCAAATTTACATGTTACTCACCTCAACAACAGCTTCAACATTTCTCAAGGAGGGATTGACTCGAATCACATTACCAATATTCACTCCTCTGATTCTAACAGGCGTGCCAGTGCAAATGCCACAAGCCTGCTCAAACTGAAGCACAGCCAAATACTTCCTGAACCTAGACCGCAACTGAAACCCTCTCAACCAAACCAAGCTGAGTGCCAACAACACTGTACCCGAAACAATAAACAACCCGACCCCACCTTCCCAGATACTCCTCCTTCCAAACCCAAAATCACTCAATGGCCGCATTGTTCGCCTCCAAATATTCCTTGGAACATCTAAAATCATAGAAAGCGGACCTTTTTGCTCGGAAGATGATGCAGGTTGTTGCTCTTGTTCTTGGCTATGACCCGTATTCGCAGACATTGCCTTTACACTAAAGGTTTGATTTTTAGGCCTCATTGGTGTTCTTACACACAACAAACGATCCCCCAACACATTTCTTCTACTGGGTATGATAGGAAACACAGTAGAATTTGTTGATACATGGACTAAAGAATTTCCAGCCATCATTTACTTTTTTTTTATTGCCCCTTATGTCTTCTTTCCTTTTTTCTTGTTTGTCGTTCCAAGTTTGTTCTTTTTTTGTTCTTTAGACAAATTTGAGCTGGGAAATTGCCAAAATCCAGGAAAACTGAAAAAGATTAGAATCAAGATTATACTTTACAAAGCAAAAAAAAAATGACTTAGAACAGCTAATAATTTTCATAAGGAAATCAGAAATGATTGAAAATTAGTGAACTGCTAACAAATAATAATGTGGAAATAGATATGAAGATCAACAAAAACGTACCATATTGGCTTTATGGTCTAACTGGAAGCAACCCTAGCTGTGGATCAACAACTGACTGAAATGTTGAATGAATCTTGACGAGTGAACTCAGACTGAGTGTGTGACAAATGGGCTGGGCTGATAAAGTATGAACAGGCCAACGAGATCTTGTAGGCCCAAGATAACTTGGAGTGTGTTAGTGAGGTAGATTAGATGTTTTTGGGCCTTTTGAAGATCTTTGGGCGCTAGAGGAGGAGGAGAGACCCATTGTGTATATATGGTTGTGCGAAAATAACATTGTATAGCCGTTCTCAAAATAATTGTCGAAAAATATATATATTTTATATGCTTTTGTAATTACCGAATATAAATAGTTCCGGCATCGGGCTAAAAGTGATCTTTTCCCTATAGTTTTCTAATCAATCACTTGGCAACCCCTCTAGGCCTCTAATTTAACAAAAGTCAATTTGACTTTCTCTTCGAATCTGTTATTAAGCAAATCAAGGTCAGCTACCCATAAATCCCAAATAAATTGGAATATTACTAGATGAATCCTTTATATAGTTCATGCTTTTATTTTCCTTTAAAAATTCATAACTATCTCCACGTTAGTTGTTGTAATTATTAGCAGAAAAATGTTCAAATTCACCCCTAAAGTATTCGACTTGTCTTATATTTATCTTTTGATTCATAAATACTCTGCACCTGCACTTTTAAGTTCGTCTCATATTTGCCCCTTTATTTAATGAATGTTCAGACGGGCTCTAATATTTGTAATCATGAAATAAAATTAGTTGTATTAGTCGTTTCTTGGGTCCGAGAGTTTATCCATATTTTTAATTATAACAACAAAGTAATCACTGGTCCGATTAAATTGACAATTTTGCCCCCAATTAAAATATGAAACATTCCAGCAATCGGTTGACAAGTGTAACCCCAGCAAACAACAACAACAACCCAGTATAATTTCACTAGTGGGGTCTGGGAAGGGTAGTTTGTACACAAAACTTACCCCTACCCTGGGGTAGAAAGGTTGTTTCCGATAGACCCTCGGCTACCTCCCTCCAAGAACTCTCTACCTTGCTCTTGGGGTGACTCGAACTCACAACCTCTTGGTTGGAAGTGGAAGATGCTCACCACTGGAGCAACTCACTTTTGTCAGCAAACTATGTTGTAATTCAAAGATTTATTGAATTTTCAAACCCACGAACGATTCCTAATTTTTTAACCTTTATTGGGCAAAATTCAGGAACGATTCCTGATTTTTGAATCTTTACTAGTGCAAAATCTATGATGATTCATGTTTTTGAATTCACATTGTAATTCAGTGATTTTAAATCTTTACTAGTGCAAAATCTAAAATCCTAGAATGATTGTTGATTTTTGAACCTTTACTAGTGTAAATCCATGAATAATTCCTGGTTTTTAATACACATTGTACTTCTATAATTATGAACCTTTACTAGTGCAAAATTCAGGAAAATTCAGGAGCAATTCATGGTTTTTGAACCTTTACGAGTGCAAGATCTATACTTGTATTTCAGCACTAATGAGTAGCTACTTTGCCAATACATACAATTTAAAATATGGCTAAACTCTAATAGTCGACCTAAAAAGTGACTATATACCAAATTTTCACTATCGTGAAACCATATAAACAAATGAAAGAACTATCAAACTGGTTTACACATACAATCAATAATAATTTGAATCATGTCCGTGATCTGTATATATACTTTAATAATAAAAATGGTTAGATATATTCATATGTGGCTTCCATCGTATTAACCGAATTAGACTAACTTTTTTACGGTAAAAAACGTTAGTAAGACGAGTATATTTATGATGAAAGATAACGATAATTGACTTTGATGGAGAGAGAGGTAACCGGTATACAAACCCAAGACAAATTACAAAATTTTAAGATTGTATTTGGACCTTATTCTATTGTTTAATACGTAATCATTAGAATCTTTAATTTGAAATAATAAAAAGAAAAAATTTCATTAAAACAATATGTATGAACTCTACCTTTCACCTAGCGCGGCTCAATAACACAAGAAACTGATCTAATTGGAAAAACTTTCCACTATATGAAAAGCACATAGTACATATAAAGCACTATTGCATAACATAATTTAGCCATTCTAGTGCTTCCGCTTTTAAACATCCACCGTTGGTTCTCCCAAACCCTAGACAAATATTTGTCGACACAGCAAGAGGCAGCTCAAGAGGCGATTCACAAAGGCGTTTCAATAAAAGTAGTGGCCTAAAGACAAATTTTAATAAGAGGTCTTTTACTTTTTTATATTAGAATTCATATATGATATACATACATATGGAAAAAGTAAGTGTTATTTTTTTCTTGTACTTATTGTTTATAGTGTAATATTCTTAAATGACATAAAGATGTTAATTTTATATAATAATACTATTATATATATATTAGTAAGGGATAATTAAAATAAATAAGATATTAGGCATGTATTTACAATATATTTCCTTTGATATTATTGTAAAAAATTGTATTTACTAATATGAAGATTTAAGTAGTTTAGTTCAAAGTTCTGAAATATTTTAGTGTTAACGAGTAGACAAACTTTCTTTATATCATTTTTATAATTTTTCTGTGCTTATTTATTTTTCTATAAAGTTTAATATTATCTAAACTAAAAAAAATATAAAATTCACTATTAAAAATCTCTGGGCTTCAATATCTCGAGGTACTAAATCAAGGCTTTACTAGCCTCTCCCTTAAGCCACTGGTCCATCCATGACATTCTCAATCAGATTTTATAGAGTCTCAATTAAGATAAAACAAATACGACAAGAACATTTAAGGTAGTGAATGCGGCATTTAGTTATCAAATTTCAATAAAGTTGGTTTGACAACATGTTCGTGGGACAGTGGTCTCGACAAAATTGATAGCCTAAAATCAAAATATATTAAAAGAACCTTAAACTTCTTTTATAAATCCATATAATAATGAGACACAAAAAACTTACATGTAACGACCCGACCGGTCGTTTTGAGAATTAGCATCTCGTTCGCTGGCTTAAGGTCTCGAGTAGTTTTGTATTATGTGTTATGACTTGCGTGTGTGGTCGAGTTCGATTTTCGGATGATTCGGTATCAATTTGGAAGAAGGATTCTTGTTTTAGAAGCTTAAGCGGTAAGAGTTGACCGAAATTTAACTTTTGTGTAGACGGCTCCGAAATGGAATTTTGATGATTCCAATAGCTTCGTATGGTAATTTTAGATTTAGACGTGCGTCCGAATTTGTATTTGGAGGTCCGTAGGATAATTTGAAGCATTTTGGCAAAAATTAGAAACTCGAAGTTTTGGAAGGTTGAGGGGTTTGACCGGGAGTTGACTCGGTTGATATTGCGCTCGGATTGCGATTCTGACGTTAGATTAGCTTTGTTATATCATTTGGGACTTGCATGCAAAATTTGAGGTCATTCCGGATTGATTTGATATGTTTCGGCATGAGTTTGGAAGTTGGAAGATTTGGAAATTTATAAGTTTGATTCGAGGTACGATTCGTAGTTTTGACGTTATTTGATGTGATTTAAGGACTCAACCAGGTTCGTATTATATTTTGGGACTTATTGGTATGTTCGTACGGAGTCGCGAGGGGCTTGAGTTGGTTTCGGATAGGTTTAGCTTGTGTTGTGCTTGTTTTTGATATTTCGAAGTTATTTCTTCAAGCATTAATGGTACCACATATATCAAATGAGCTCCAAATTCAGTTTTTATCAAAGCCGTATTGTAATTAAGAAGCCATAGAAAAAAGAATCGTCGAATTTGGACATCGTATGAGAGAGTTATGCCCATTTTCGTTTCGGGGAAGACTGTTGGTTTCTGGTGTAGTATCCCGGGGATCGCAAATAGGAACATTTGATGGCATTTGCGACTTCTTCCATATTCTAGTTCGCATTTGCGAACATTTTATCGCAATTGCGATATTTTCCAGCCATGTTCTTATTCGCAATTGCTAAGGCTTCTTCGTTTTTGCGAGGGTTCGCAATTATCGTAATTGCGATATTTTCCAACCATGTTCTTATTCGCAATTGCTAGGGCTTCTTCGTTTTTGCGAGGGTTCGCAATTATCACAAATGCGACGTCTGCAACTTGTTTTCAGATGTGTAATTCGGGTTTTTGCTTCATTTTTTGATATTTTTGAACCTTAGGTCCGAGAGTGGGCAATTTTGAGAGAGAAATTTCATCTACAATCGTTGGGTAAGTACCCTTGTTCAATTTCTATTGTATTTCATGATTATATTTGAGTTTTAACATCAAAATAGTGATAATCAAAGTGAAAAATTGGGAATTTTGTCTAAATTTTGAAAATATGGAATTTCTTGATTTGAGAGTCGAATTGAACTCTAACTTGAAAATAAATCACGTATTTGAACTCGTGGGGCTATGGGTAGTCAAAATCTACCCCTCTTGACTCGGGTTTTGACCGGACGAGCCCGAAGTTGACTTTTGTTGACTTTTTAGAAATTATATAAAGATCATAGCTTTGTTAATTGAAATTATTTTCTCTTGTATTGTTTGATGTATTTAAGTCGTCTTTGGCTAGATTGAGCCGAGCGGAGGTGAATTTGTAAAGGAAAAGCTAATTTGAGTATAAATCTAGCTTCTTTGAGATAAGTATCTTGCCTAACTTTGTGTGGGAGAACTACCCCTTAGGATTTGAGTCATTTGTGCTAATTGTGTCATGTGAAGGCCGTGTACGCGAGGTGACGAGTACGTACTCGAGCTTAATTGTGGAAATTTGATTGTTTAGGGCTCTTAGGTTCTTATGTTCATTAGATATGAAGTTGTTTTGTCATGTTAAATCATCCATTTAATAAATCCACCCTTACGTGTATTATTTGGAATTAATTGATTCATGTTCTACCCTTACTGGCAATTAAACTCTTATGTGCCTTAATTGAAATTGTTGCCTCTTTTATTGTCATATTATCTCTTCTGTAATTGCTTAACCCTAATTGAAGTTATTAATATATATTTCGTAATTGCTTAATATTAATTGAAATTACTATTATCTCTTCCTTAATTGATTAGCCTTAATTGAAGTTTGTTATCCTTTCATTGTTGACGTATTCTT